TGGAGAAGAGGAGATTCGAGAGGTATGCGTACCTCACAGATGACGAGAGGAGTGGCGTCAGAGCTGGTACCCAACTGTCCTGGTCAAGATGTAGGAACCTTAGGCACAAGGATTGAAGTTGCGGACACCGCGAGAGGAGACTTTCCATGGTAGTGGGTGTTATAGGAACGCAATGAAGTGACATGCGTATAAGATGATTGAAGTTCGAATTCGCGCTATGGAACACGTTTTCAAGCATGCCCAGACACGGAGTCGGAGCCTCGTTGAACCAACATGTCTGGTAGAAATGGATATAGATGGTTTCGAGATGGTGCATGGCTTGAATTAATCTTGCGACATCATCGGCGCCGTTTTCTTCGCTCCGGCGGATAGCGACGTCGCTTTCCAGTCGGACACCGTCAGTACTCTGTGAAAGGGGTGGCTCTGAATAGGCCGGCTCTCTGACAGCTGCGGACAAGCTGACGGAGAAATGCTTTAGGCGCGAGGCCACCTTCTCAAAACCGTCCGTCTGGGTGATGGATATCTCGTTTATAGGTATGCTGCATATGCTCGTGTCCTTGAATAGTTCGAGTCTGTCGACTTGGATTTGTGACTTGGCAACAGAAGACACAACGCCACGAAATGTCTCCATATTCTGTTTCCACATCTGTCGCCAGTCGAGATGCTCAACTTTCTCAGGCGCCCATCGAACCTCAGGGCTGAGGATAACAGCGGCCTCAAGACAGAGCCCACCAAGAGTGCTGAAGTTGCGAAGCACCTCGGTCAAAAGCGCAAGCACAGTAGTAGGGTCTTGGTTTAGGCTCGACTGCTCAAAGATCCGCTGCTCCATCCAGAATCGGTCGTTGGGCGTCTGTAAAAAATTGAGAGGGTCCAGAAGAGCGTCTCGTCGCCGAGGATACAGGTCCCCAGGATACGTTGTCCCACCTCCCGTTTTTGCGGGTGTCACGTGGTAATAAGGAGAAACGAAGCGGAGAACGCTAACGGCAGACTTGAGATGTGTGTTGAGAGAAAGAAAGCGCAGTTGCCGTATATCGCATAGTGTGAAGTCTATGGTTTGCACTTCATTGATATGGCAGAGGAACTGTGGCGTGAAAATCGTGTTGACGTGCCTTGAAACGAGACGAAGGGCCCCAAGAGAGCCGGCGTCGAGTTCTCCTGCTATTAGCAAGGTAAGCTCTGCTGGAAGCCGATCGAGGCAGCCAATCCCGTCTGCCATTGCCGATTGTGGTGTCAATAGCCTGCTCTTTACTAAAGGAGAAGGTATCTCTCCGGCTTTTGAATGGAGTTGGTATCTTAATATCAATCCGCAGAAGGGGTGGGTCGAATGGTGCGAAGCTTGTTTATCTTATATGCCGACAGCAGCGGGGGCGGGGGGGGGGACGCGGGGGAGGGCGGGAACTGGCTGAGAGAGGCAGGTGCCAACACTTGCCAGAATTTAATGCACCATACAGAATGTCGATCCACAAAACCTAGAGCTCCTTGGACGATCTCACAAGAAAAAAAGTGGAAGAAAGACAAAGGGCGGCCCTCCAGTCCACGCCGCCCCCCCTCCCTCCTAGACCGTCAGGTCAAGCGCGCAAAGACTCTCAGCGTCGCTGTCTCTTCCATCACGTAGCTGGGTTATTCATCGGAACCCGCTCCCCGCCGGCGCCAGCGCAAACAACCAGAGCGAGTCAAGAGCGAGCTAGGAGGACTTTTCCGTCCTTGACGACGCTATGCCCGAGCCGCCGCTAGTCCTATCAGCTAGCCCCCCTTCCAATTAGTTGAGGACGAACTAGCAGATGTGTGCAGGCGGAGTTCACCTTGTGGCAGGACGACCCCCTTCGGACACAGAGCGTGGTGGAGGGAGCTTCTTAACTCTGGAAGCATAATAGGGTTACGATAAACCATGACTTGGTGTGTTCAATGGATAGTCTTCCTTTGGATACTCGCCATTGCTTTCCAGGGTCCAACCTCGTATTGACACCACGAGGCCTGCAGTCAGCACTGAATATGATGAGATATCCAAACGAGCTGAGCCGACCCTGAGGGAACGAGGAATGATATCACGCGACCTAGGCTGTGGGTGGACGTCCAGATTGGAATCAAATAACATGCCGTCCCCTCTGCCGAAATTCAGTGGAAGGACGGGTCCATAACCGGGCCGATGGCACAGTGGCTTAAGTGACATCATCCTGTGTATTGTAGGCCATAACCACCAAAATCATGTAGTGCAAGTTAAAGGGGGCGGTGATTGCTGACCCCGCAATTCTACAAGTGGAGAAATGTTCAGGCATTTTCCACTGGCTGGTATACTTGTACGAACTTTCTTTTGATATACTAGCTAATACCGCGCAGATCCTAATGGCCGGCCATTCCGGCGGCCGAATACATAATACAAGGGATCAACTAAACTGAAGCTAGCTCGCACCATCGTGTACTCCGGGGATATTACCGGAAAGAAATCTCCCTTTCAAGTAATAATCGGCGCTTACCCCGCACACCCTTGTCACACTAGACATATCCGGCCCTCAAAGCCGCAAATGCAAGCAAAATCTTGTTCCTCAGGCTTGTCATGGCCCTCTTCAATTGGCCATGATCTGATTTACCCCATTACCCCGAGTCCCGAGTGGCGACTCTCAACACACAGGGTATGATCCAAAGAGCGCTACTGACGATGACAGCTTGGCATCTAGTACCTGTTTCAACCCTAACGCCACTTGGCTCCTTTCTCCCACCCTCCTAATATGCTAGCTGCATTCCCCTTTGTTTTATATACTTGGCCCGTCTGTCTAAGAAAGGAGCGTGCAACAGAGTAGCGTTACCCCAATTGTCTCGTTACTCGGTGCCCCTTACGTTCCTCCCACCCTACTACCACCATGACCGACGAGATCTCCAAAACGGGTGCCGCCAGCGAGGGCTCCGACAAGAAAGATGTGAACAATCTGGAGCACGCCGAGCCGGCAGGTCCGCCAACCAAGCTCAGCACCGGACAGATGAGCCCTGAACACCGTGCTCGAGTCGAGAAGAGTCTCAAGCGGAAGTTGGACCTCCGGTGTAGCCTGTTCGTGCTCATCTATATTATGAACTACCTGGACCGGAACAACATCGCAGCTGCGCGCCTCCGCGGCCTGCAGGACGACCTGAGACTCGATGACACGCAGTACGCTACGTGTCTCAGCATTCTATATGTCGGCTATATCCTGATGCAGGTCCCCTCCAACATGCTTATCAACCGCATCCAACGGCCATCTCTGTACATCGCGTGCGCCATGCTGGCATGGGGCCTCGTCTCGACTCTTTCTGGCAACACGCACAACTTTGCCGGCATGGTGGTTGTTCGTTTCTTCTTGGGCTTTATCGAGGCGGCCTTCCTACCGGGCGCGTTGCTCATCCTCTCAAAGTGGTACACACGCCGAGAACTGACCGTCCGCAACGCCATTCTCTTCTGCGGCAACCTGATCTCGAATGCCTTCTCCGCTCTGGTCGCCGCCGGCGTACTCTCCAACATGCAGGGTACCCTTGGCCATGCCGCCTGGCGCTGGCTTTTCTGGATCGAGGGCGCTATCACGATGGCCGTTGCCATCTCCGCCGCATTCGTCTTGCCCGACCTGCCGCACAATTCGCGCGGCTTCACCGAAGAGGAGCTGCAGCTTGCGCAGTTGCGGATGCTCGAAGATGTCGGCGAAGCTGATGAGGATTCCAAGGATCAGGGTGCGTTCGATGGACTCATCATGGCTGTCAAGGACTACAAGATTTATCTCATGATGTTGACGTTTACTGCCTACGTCGTCGGTATGTCCAACAAGACCCCCAAGCTACCTCTAAATTCATGCTAACCACCGAACCCAAGGCCTGAGCTTCAATGCCTTCTTCCCCACGGTACGTAGTGTCATATATCCCAAATCTTCACACACCTCAGTGCTGACCTGATATAGTTAACCGGCACCCTCGGCTTCTCATACGTGCCCACGCTTCTTATGAGTGCCCCACCGTGGGTATTCTCCTGTATTGTTTCTCTTATCAACGCCTGGCACTCCGACCGGACGGGCGAGAAGTTCTGGCATATCACTGGTCCCATCATAGTGGGATGTATTGGCTTCGTCATCAGCATGTCAACGCTGAATGTCGCCGCGCGGTACATCGCGCTATTTCTGCAGGCGTCCTCATACGCCGGCTTCATTGTCTTCTATAGTTGGATTTCAAGTTCTTTCCCTCGACCACCAGCCAAGCGCGCTGTGGCTATCGCCATGATCAACGCCTTCTCTCAGCTGGGCAACGTCGCGGGGAGTTACGTGTGGGCCCTGAAGGAAAATGGGTACCGCAAGAGCTACGGTATTGTACTCTCCATGTTCGGCGTGACCATCTTGGGGTGCTTCTTGTTCAGGGTGATACTCCAAAACCTCAACAAGAAGCTCGACGAGGGTGAGAGCGCTTGGGAGACCAGGCCAGATGTGGCGGAGCATTCGATCCAGTTAGAGAAGCCGGAGGTTACGGACGAGGCTTTGGCCATGAGGAGGGGCTTCCGATACCTAGTGTAGGTAATCGGCCGGCATCTACGGGTCTATCATACCGATAACAGGTTGAGTGGGTTATGGCCGTTGTGCTCACGTATTTGTCCTTAATATATATACTCTCCTGTCACACTTTTCATTTACACCTGCAAATTTACGTTTTGCAGCGAAGCTATATTGCAGACAAGTCGTCGTCAACCAGGAACAACGCACTAGTACGATCCCGCTCTCAGGAGGTTACGACAGTGACGACAATAATAGAGAAATAGATTGTGACAGGGTTCTGGGATATAAAGTCGACCTATAGGACGCCTTTCTTCGAAAGACGGTCGTGTGCAAAAAAAAAAAAAAAAAAAAAAAAAAAAAAAAAA